AATCTTAAACTTAAATTTTATATTCAAATTTTTACCTAATTATATAACATTATGATACTCTACAAATAATATAAATATATTCAATAAATATTTTATAATAATTTAATAAGTCTCTAATTGAATACCTGTAACATTAGTTTGTAAAGTATTATAATGATCATGCACACAGTATTTGAAAATTTAAGCAAAATTATTATGTTTAGAAAATATTTGTAATGAGAAATTAATTTTTAATTTCATTAATTATTAACATCATTTAAATGACTTATTATATGACATTTATATTCATGAAATAATGGTAGATCAGGCTTGAGTGAACTTTATAATCGAGAATTTCATATTTGAAAACCAGAACATTCCAGTCATTAGTTTTTAATTGATAGAATTGTCACGTTAATGCAAAAGACTTCATCTTGCAACTGTAATTAAACATGGAAAAAGATATAGGATAGGACATAAGACATAACTGAAAAGTAGCGGACAGAATTTTTAAAAAATATTAAATAATAATCGAAATGGTATTTTGAGAAATTTGAAACTTTCATTAAAGAACTTAGTGCTATATCAACTTATTATATCTGAAATGTAAATAAACGTAATAGTTAATTTTGAAATTTCATTTCTTTTGTATAAATTTAATAGCATATTCCTTTTGTGCTATTTTAAAATATAAGACCTTAGAATTTTATTATTATCTATGCATTATTAATACGAATGGAAATTATAAAGTTATATCATTCAATTTCTAGATTCGTTATACTTATTAATTAATTTTTGTAAAGCTTTTTGTAAAAACAACGGAATAAAGATGAAATAATGATTATTTTTATCAAAAAATTTACTTTTAAGTTTAAAGACGTTCTAACTGGATGATTGAAAGTTTAAATTAATTAATTATTAATATAACAATATTTGTGGATAAAAAACAGTATAAATTTATACAAAACACAGTATAAATAAATATACAAAATCATTTTCTGTGATAATGAAAATTCTCTATTTTTTTTTTAACATAGAATTTATTAGAGAAAATATTAGACAAACAATCGTTCCTTGATTAAATGATCTATTGTACATATTGGTTATAAAAGTATCTAGATTTCTAATGAATATATAAGAAAGGATGCGAATTTATGAGGTTTTGAACAATAAAAATAGTAGCTCCCGCAATCTTTTGTAGTCTGCGTTCACACGTAAAGCACTTCTTTTCTTCTTCGTGACATTGGGTGAGGCGGTGGCCAAGTAAATTATTCAGCAAGCTTTTAAGCTGCTGTTCACCGTAAAATCAGTGCAACGTCACTACCACACCCTCTATCACGAGTCTAACCAGCGGCAAACGAGCGCGTGTTGTTGTTGCGAGGGTGAGGGAAAAAAAGTATGCTCACGAAAAAGGAAACGATGCGCACCAACAATAAGTAGTTGCCGGAACAAGAAAGGTGTGGTGGGTCATGAAAAAAAGTGAAACAGCGGCAATGGAATATATATGAGAAGACACGCCCATTTCTAGGGGCCGTTGAATATATAATATATGTATACACGTACATATTTAATAGACTTCTATTTTAATTTTTTTAAATTACTTCAATCCTTATTATGTTTAGCACTATTTATCATTTTGGTATTAATTATTTATTCCATTTGATATATACTAATTTTGTGCATCTATCATGTTATTTTATAAATTTTAATTTGGTTATTTTTTTAAAATTATTTTTGATAGTTAATTATTTTATTTATATAGCACCCTTTTAATTGATGTAATTAATTGTATTCAAGATTGTATCTTTTTTCTTTGATTTTCTTCGTCGTCACTGTTAATATGTTAACTAGTACCAAAATTTTAGACTCAAAACTAAAAAACCTTCAAATTTTTTTAATTGGCTAATTCACTATGATTTATTAGTATTTTATTAGTATAGGAATAATTACAATATATATTAGATTTAATATAATAAATAATTTATGCAAGATAACAATTGAAATATAAAGTTTTAAAATCATTAAATGTATATGTATTGATAATGAAACCAAGTGCGGTAAAAAGTAGTAAATTTTGTATATTGTACTACAGTTTTTATGATACAAATTGTATACTTTTTGAACTAAACTTTTAATTTACAATTTTAAAGTAATCTAAATTTAATAATTTTTATTTGTTAATATCGTAAGAACGTTATTATGAATAAATATTTAATAATTAATATCAATATAATAAGAATATATTAAAATTTTCTAAATTATTGAAAATTTAAGAAAAGCATAATAAATTTAAATAAGAATTTGTATCGTTAATAAATATATTTATAGCCTATTATATTTGATTACATAACATTAAAGTAAGTGTGAAATAAATTTATTTAAAAATTAATTCTGTTTTTCTTTAAAATAAAATTTCTAATATTTTTATTTTGTCAAATTATATAATATTTATTTTAATATATGTATATATATACATATATAAATTAACTTAAATATAAACTTCAATTCTACATTGTATTAGTTTTTTAAGCAATAGATTTTTTTAGTTTATTGTAATTCAAATTTGCCAGTATAACTAATTTCAACAAGGTTTGTTTTTTTAGTATATATATGCATATATAATATATGTGTACTATGCGAAAATCATTTATTATAAGATCTAATAAATGAATTAATTCATTTAATTTAATTTAACTGAAAATTAACCTGTGATTAAATTAACATAATAATAATAATAATAATAACAACAATAATAACAATAATAATAATAATAATAATAATAATAATAATAATAATAATAATAATAATAATAATAATAAGCGACACAGAAAGAGACAAGATTGAGAAATTGAGATATAATAGAGAGAACATAAATCCCAATGTATAATTTGATTTATTTAAGTTGTGCATCTGAGTGTGTTTGTCATGTCATACGCGTTGATAAATATGTATCTGTATACGATTACCGTTTAAATTACATGTAGTAGTATAGTTCTAATTGTATTAATTTTATATTACAATAAAATATATATTTTTTAATATTCCTCTGCAATTACAATTTATATTAGGAATAATTATGTATATTACTGCACATATATACAGAAACTGGTATTTCATCGTATATAGATTTTATTGTATGCCCCCCCCCCCTATCTATACGTATAGAGGCGACAAGTATGCATTAATGATAAAGTACTAATTTATGGCTGCGCACTACCGTGGCAAGCAAGGAACAAGCAAGAATGGACGAAAAGGGCTAATCATGGGAAAAGAGTAAAAGTGAGATAGACAGTGCGTTAGATAGAGAAAGAGAGGATGAACGAGTAAATAAG